GGGGGGGGCAACAGTGGGAGGGCTTCTAATGTCCTGGTCCCACTGGTGGTCCTCCTGATGGCACCTGGTATTTCTGGCCACTGTGTGACACAGTGTTGGACTGGATGGGCCTTTGGCCTGATCCAACATTGCCTTCTTTTATGTTCTTATACGAGGGAATTAGATAAACATATGGAGCAGAGGTCCATCAGTGGCTATTAGCCACAAGGTATAGATAGGGACTCTCAGTCTGGGGCAAGTGATGCTCTGTCTTCTTGGTGCTTGGGGGGGGGTCAACAGTGGGAGGGCTTCTAGTGTCCTGGCCCCACTGCTGGACCTCCTGATGGCCTCTGGTATTTCTGGCCCCTGTGTGACAGAGTGTTGGACTGGATGGGCCACTGGCCTGATCCAACCTTGGCGTCTCTTATGTTCTTATGTTCTTAATACTAGGACCGAAAGTTCCAATACAAATTTGTAAAGACATTCAAACAAATATCTGGCAGCCAGTCATAGTAAAAGGGCAAAAAGGGCAATTTCAGTGGCGCCAAGGTCTTCCCTCCAAGCCCTGCTTCTGAATTTTGTTTCTTTTTAAAAACAAACTCCACGTTAAAGCTGGGGACAAAGACATAATTAGGGTGACTCTAATCTGGGAGAACCGGGTTTGATTCTCCCCTCCTCCACTCGCAGCTGCTGGATGACCTTGGGTCAGTTACAAGTTCTCTCAGAGCTGTTCTCTCAAGGGCAGTCCTCGAAAGAGCTCTCTCAGCGCCACCTACCTCCCAGGGTGTCTGTTGTGGGGAGGGGAAGGGAAAGGAGTTTTTAAGCTGCTCTGAGACTCCTTTGGGTAGTGAAGGGTGGGGTATAAATCCAATCTCCTCCTCCTCCTCCTCCTCCTTCAGATCGTTGGTCCATCAAGGTCAGTCTTGTCTACTCAGACTACTCAGTGGCTCTCCTGGGTCCCAGGCAGAGGTCTTTCGCATCACCTGTTTACCTGGTCCTTTTAACTGGAGATGACAGAGATTGAACCTGGGACCTTCTGCGTGCCATGCAGATGTTGTGCCACTGAGCCGCAGCCCCCCACCTCCAGATGAAGGCAGCTGTGACTTTCAAAACCTCATACCCCCCAAAAAAAATCTCGTTGGTCTGTCAGGTGCTCCTGGATTCAAATCTCGCTCCTCTTCAGTGGCAGACCAATACGACGGCTACCCTCTGAACCCGTAGTCAGGTTGGAAGCGAGAAGTCTAAAACCGGCATCTCTTTCTTCGTAGCTTGGCTTTTGAGGGCCAGGGTTTGGGGAGCGGATTGTGTCACTGGAGACACGTCAAATCTCCTTTCTCCTTCAGGGGCTGTTGCTAGAATTCTCCCAGGGACCTACCCACAGAGGTTGCTTCTGCCAGAGGCAGTCGGTGTAAGGTTGGCTACGGTTTGCCGTACAATCTCCCGCTGGCCGTCACTGTTGCTGAGGATAGATCCAGGTAGTCAGCCGTGTTAGTCTGCAGGAGCGGAGCAAATTTAGAGTCCGGTGGCACCTTTTGTTGGAAAAACTGGTAAAAATAGTTAGATATTCAGAACTTGCAAAGGATCTTTGCTCACTGGAGAAGGAGGCATGTTCTTTCTACTTAAAAATATTTATTTCTAAAGGGAAAGGTACATGGGAAATCTACAAAACAACAAACACTTAAGACCACTTCCTTGGCCCAGAATATAGGCCGTAATATTAATTTTGAAGAGTGGAAGCATACTTGGCGGAAAAATATAAAATTAACTAATGCTGTGTCATATAAAGAGAACATGTATAAGATGTTTTATAGATGGTATATTACACCAGATAGATTAGCTAAACAAAATGTTAATTGCTCTGATAAATGTTGGAAATGTAAAAATAAGACTGGTTCTTTTTATCACATGTGGTGGTTATGTGATGTCATAAAGAGGTACTGGAGATGCATTCATGAGATAATGGAAAAAAATAATAAGAACTAATATCCCGTTTACTCCAGAGATACTGTTATTGAATATATTTCCGAAAGACTTTGATAAAGCAGATAGGTATTTGATAGTTCATATGTCAACAGCTGCAAGGATAGTATATGCTAAATATTGGAAAACAATGGAAATACCAACGAAACAAGAATACGTGAATAAAATATTTGAAACGGCGGAAAATGACAAACTGACACTTGAGATGAGAGCCGGTACAGAATGGACTTTTCAAAAAACTTGGAAGAGAGTCTACGATTGGTATAATGTAAATGCAACTGATAAATAAATGTAGTAATTTGAGAATGCAAAAAAGATAAGCTTAGTAAAATAGATAATGAATTTAGAAATTTAGCAAGCAGAAGAAATGATAGTCTCTTGTTATATGTTGTGGGGGGTAGTTAGGGGTTGTTTGTATGTATGTTTGTCTGTCTGTAGTATATAATGGAAAAAATAATAAAAGTGTACCCTCGGGTATTTATTAAAAAAAAGAAGAAGACCACATCCTTGCTGTTACAAGCAGAGCAACAGACAGACTGACCACACAGTTGGTAAATGGAGATTCCTCTTTCTTCTTGACCCCAGAATGAAATCACCTGAATACATTAACCAATGATTATGAGTAAATAGGCTCCAGTTTCCCGGGCTTTCTCTCCATTGGCTTTCTGCCAGGTTTCCTTCCAGGTCAGTTCAAACAATAGCACACAGGGTAAACACATTATCCTTGTAATGGCTGAATTTAGACTTTGCAACACACATATTTCCAACACCTTAAAGACCAGAAAAGGTTTATTGAAGGTGTAAGCGTTTGTGTGCAAGGCACAGTTTTTCGTGTGCCTTGCACACGAAAGCTCATACCTTGAATAAACTTTTGTTGGTCTTCAAGGTGCCGCCGGACTCAAACTTTGCTCTGCTGTTGCTGTGGGTGAGATTTCAACCCCCGATCCCAGGCGCACAAACCGAGACATGTCTGTGTTCGAATCACCGCGCCACTTCAAACAGACCGGGTGAACAAAAGTGACATGCTGTGGCTTGTGTTTGTTTCTCCCAGGCTACCAGATAAAAGGGTATTTTTGCAACTGGAGCCCAGTGCAGTTCCGCTGTCATCCGAGTCTTCGTTTCCCGGATCCCCGGTCCCAGTACGGCTTCAGTGAAAACATCAATTCAGGTAGGGAACGAAAACGTGTGCCCCACAAGTCGCCTCTGGGCACCTTTTCGGATTGCTTGAAGCACCGGACACTTTCTGCTCGACTGATGCACTTCCGAAAGGATTGCTGGTCGTCCATTCCACGATGCCCATTCTGTGGCAGGGGTCCCCAACACAGTCCCCGTGGGCAGCATGATGTCCAGTGGCATCATCAACCTGACAGATATGTTTTTAAAAAGTGAGCAGGGCCAGGTGGGGTTTTTGCCCAACAGGACTTCTGATTGACTGTTGAGGATTTGATTGGCTCTGCGGGTGGTTAAAAAAATGTCGCCTTGACAGCAGCTGCCACCGCAGCACAAGGATCTTCATTGTGTGATGGCCGGCAATCTGTGGCAGCCATTTTGTGGCTCGCTCTCCCTTCTGCGGCAGCCATTTTGTGGCTCGCTCTCCCTTTTGCGGCAGCCATTATGTGGCTTGCTCTCCCTTCTGCGGCAACCATTTTGTGGCTCACTCTCCCTTCTGTGGCAGCCATTTTGTGGCTCCCCCCTCCTTCTTTCGCCTTTCAAGAACAGCTCTGATCAGAACTACGGCTTGCCCAAGGTCATCCAGTAGCTGCGCCATTTTGTGGCTACACCCTCCATGCTGTGTCAAAATTCCAAAGGTGCCCACAGGCTCAGAAAGGCTGGGGACCCCTGGTGTGGGGAGAGGAGTGCCTTTTGGGAGAACTGGCTAACAACCACATTCACGTTTCCAGTTCTTCTGGAGGCCCAATCTCTAGCTCCTTCTGAACCCTTGACTCACTACATACGTGAAAATTAATAGGATGAGAGGAAATCAAGTTAATTTGCTGGAACCCCTAGAAATCTGTGACCAGGGCCAGAGAAAGTAGTGATGGCCTCAGGAATAAGCAGCTTTAAAAGGGGATCAAATAGTTTCATGGAGGATAAATCTTATCAAAGGCTACTTGCCATGGTGACTGAGGGGAACCTCCACATTCAGAGGCACTAATCCTCTGAATCCCAGAGTCTGGTGGCAACGTTAGGGGAAGGCCTCGGCCTCTCTGCCCTGTTGTTGGCTGTTCAGAAGAACAGGTTGGCCACTGTGTGAGACGGGATGCTGGACTACAGGGACCCCCACTGGTCTGATCCAGCAGAGCTCTTCTGATGTTCTTATGAAGGCCTCGGCCTCTCTGCCCTGTTGTTGGCCCTGCAGAGGAACTGGTTGGCCACTGTGTGAGAAAGGATGCTGGACTAGATGGACCACTGGTCGGATCCTGCAGGGCTCTTCTGATGTTCTTATGAAGGCCTCAGCCTCTCTGCCCTGTTGTTGGCTGTCCAGAGGAACTAGATGGACTATTGATCTGTTCCAACAGGGCTCTTCTTACGTTCTTTAAGCTGTTCCTCCGTTGAAACAAAAAGCTGGTTTGCTAGTGAAACCAAGTCCATTGCAATGTCGTTCCCAAGGAACTCTGGACGTGGTGACTATCTTCACTTCCTGTCTTTTTCTTTTTTTAGATGGCAAATGCCTGAGCGGGGGCCCTTGTGGGATTATAAATGACGTATGGGGGCCTAGTACATTTTGCACGCTTTTGGAAAACATGATATGTTAATGATAGTTTTGTGAAGGGGCTGGGAATTCTTCGTTAGAGATCTCTGCTCTGCCCACAGAACAAAACAAAAATCCCCTGGGTGTTTCTTAACCACCACAAAAGCTTTCATTTACGAATCCTCAACTTGAAATCATAAAACAGCGATGAATAATCTCCTCAGGTCAGGCCCAGCTCACAGTTCACATAGCCCGGCTTTTCTAGGCACATAATTTTGATTTTTTTTAAAAATGCTTTGAGTCAGGGCGGGTTTTATATGTTGCATCTCATCTCTCCTTATCTCTCCTTATATATAAAAGAATAGTGGGTGCCAAAGTTCTAAAATTGGCCCCTTTAGTGTTAGGCCGAAAAAACTGCCACTCGGAAGACACTGGCTGGGTTCATTGGCTGCTTTGTGCAGTCCCGGCCAGCGTTCCAAGGTCATTTACATATGGAAGCTGATTGGACTACACTCCATTCCACACCTCAAACTCACCCCCACCCCCCCGCAAGACAGTTGGAATTTTCAGTTGGGAGAGGAGAATGATGTCAGCTGCTCCCTAGGCAGAGGCTGTGTGTGTGGGGGGTTTTTTTTTGTAAAACTTAAGACAGACAGGCAGATAGGGTTGCCAACTCCAGGTTGGAAACTTCCAGGATATTTTAGGGATGAAGCCTGCTGAGGGTGGGATCTGAGGAGGAGGAGGAAGAGGGGGACCTCAGACAGACACAATGCCATGCTGCCCACACTCCAGACAAGCTGTTGCCAGTCTCCAGGTGACAGCTGGAGAGATCTTAAAGCTTTGGTGCTACTTCAAAGTTCCCCAGGAGCCCAAAACAGAGAAGTGTTTTGGAAAATCTTGAGGAATTGTTTGGTGCATTTACGATGGGGCTCCTGGGGAACTATTGTTGCCAATCTTGGCCCAGCAGCCATCAAACCATTCTCTTCAACCCCCTGCTGTGCAGCTGACTTCCCCCTAGGGTTGCCAATCTCCAGGTGGGACCTGGAGATCTCCCACTGCTACAATTGATCTCCAGATGACAGAGATCAGTTCCCCTAGAGAAAATGACTGCTTTAGGAGGGTAGACCCTATGACATTATACCTGCTGAGTCCTTCCGCCCCCCCCCCGCCCAATGCTGCCCTCTACAGAATCCACCCCCCAAACCTCCAGGTATTTCCCTCCTTAGAAAGGGAGAAAAGTACCTCTTTCTCTACCTGCTCTTTCCCATGCATAATCTCTCTGCCCAAATTTCAGTGATTGTTAAAAAGGGGGGGGGACAAAAGGGGGGGAACTCAGGTCCAGTGTTCCCTCTAAGCTGAGCTAGTGTGAGCTACCTCACAGTTTTTTGTCTCCGGTTCACACATTTTTGTCTTAGCTCAGGAAGGAGGGCTCCAGTGCAAACTAATTGATGCAGCAGCCAAATCGCTGGCTCACCACTTCAATGCCGGTAGCTTACAAAGAAGAATTTTTGCTCACAAGACTCCACAGCGTAGAGGGAGCTTTGCGTCAGGTCGGTTGCAAGTTGCCACTACCGTTTGAGTGTGAAAGTACTTTCCAGTTGTGGTTCGTACTCCTCTCTGACGTCAGTGCATTTGCCATTGTCTTGCCAGAACAGGGGGAAACCCAACGTGCCTTTCAGGAAACGGCAAGACCATGTAGGGATCATACAGCAAATCCACTTCCTCAGTCCTGCTGAGTGCAAGACTTCTTGTGACTAACAAGAGTGATCTTGTACAAGGTTTTGTGCACGTTTCGTCCGCCTGCCCCAACCCATAATAGGCGGATGTGCCCAGACTTATCTGTAGGCTGCTTATGCATCCGGTTTTTTACTTCAGTTTCTTGGCTCATGTATATGAAGAAGAAGAAGAAGAGATTGGATTTATACCCCGCCCTTCACTTGGAGTCTCAGAGCGGCTTACAAGCTCCTCTCCCTTCCTCTCCCCACAACAGACACCCTGTGAGGTGGGTGGGGAGATTGGATTTATACCCCGCCCTTCACTACCCAAAGGTGTCTCAGAGCGGCTCACAAACACCTTTCCCTTCCCCTCCCCACCAGGTGCAAGTGGAGGAGTGGGGAATCAAACCCGGTTCTCCCAGATTAGAGTCTGCACACTTAACCACAACACCAAACTGGCTCTTTCAGAAAGGGTCTTTAAAAAAAAAATCTTATTTTGCAAAAAAGGGTTTCTCCCCCCCCCCCAGACCCCACAAGTGTAGCCATGGTTATCTGCTTTAACTTAGTCCCCACTTTCCCACAGTACTAGAACACGAGGGCATCCAGTGAAGCTCATGGGCAGTAGGTTCAGGGTGGACAAAAGAAAATACCACTATCCATAGAAAGTGACTAAAATGTAGAGGGTGGAGTGATGGTCACAGAAATAAACAGCTTTAAAGGGAGATTAGATAGCTTCATGGAGGAGAGGTCTGTCAAGAGCTCCTAGCCATGGCGGCTGAGGGGAACCTCCACATTCAGAAGCAGTAAACCTCTGAATCCCAGAGCCAGGAGGCAACATCAGGGAAGGCCTCGGCCTCTGTGCCCTGTTGTTGGCCCTCTGGAGGAATTGGCTGGCCACTGTGTGAGACAGGATGCTGGACTGGATGGGCCCTCACTGGTCTGATCCAGCAGGGCTCTTCTGAGGTTCTTATGAAGGCCACAGTCTCTATGCCCTCCCTGTTGTTGGCCCTCCAGAAGAACTCATTGGACAATGTGTAAGACCGGATGCTGGACTGGATGGACCACTGTCTTCATCCAGCAGGGCTCCTCTGATATTTTCGTGAAGGCCTCGGCATCTATGCCCTGCTGTTGGCCCTCCAGAAGAAGTGGTTGGCCACTGTGTGAGACAGGACTAGATGGACCCCGGTCTGATCCTGCAGGGCTCTTCTGATGTTCTTGTGAAGGCCTCAGCCTCTATGCCGTGCTGTTGGCCCTCCAGAGGAAATGGTTGGCCACTGTGTGAGACAGGATTCCAGACTAGATGGACCCTCACTGGTCTGATCCAGCAGGGCTCTTCTGATGTTCTTATGAAGGCCTCGGCCTCTATGCCCTGTTGTTGACCCTTCAGTGGCCCTCCAGAGGAAATGGTTGGCCACTGTGTGAGACAGGATTCCAGACTAGATGGACCCTCACTGGTCTGATCCAGCAGGGCTCTTCTGATGTTCTTATGAAGGCCTCAGCCTCTCTGCCCTGTTGCTGGCCCTCCAGAGGAACTGGTTGGCCACTGTGTGAGACAGGAGGCTGAACTAGATGGACCCTCACTGGTGTGATCCAGCAGGGCTCTTCTGTTGTTCTTATGAAGGCCTCGGCCTCTATGCTCTGTTGTTGGCTGTCCAGAGGAACTGGCTGGCCACTCTGTGAGACAGTACTAGATGGACCCCGGTCTGATCCTGCAGGGCTCTTCTGATGTTCTTGTGAAGGCCTCAGACTATGGGCCCTGTTGTTGGCCCTCCAGAGGAAGTGGCTGGCCCCTGTGTGAGGCAGGATGCTGGACCAGATGGACCCTCACTGGTCTGATCCAGCAGGGCTCTTCTGATGTTCTTAGGAAGGCCTCGGCCTCTCTGCCCTGTTGCTGGCCCTCCAGAGGAACTGGTTGGCCAATGTGTGAGATAGGATGCTGGACTGGATGCACACAGTTGGTCTGATCCAGTGGGGCTCTTCTGATGCTCTTCAGACAGGTCTGGGGGTAGCATCTCACAGCGCTTGTGTTGTGCTTCCTGCCCACGGGTCTGCCCTGGACATTGGCAAGGTCGTAACTCTGGTCCCCTGGTGTTCTGCCATGTGACTCTGATGTCACATGTTGTGGCTCGGAGTCCAGCAGCTCCTGGACAAGACTTGTCAGGGTGTAGGCTTCTGAGAGGCAACTCTCCCTTTGTCAGATCTCATTGGTCTCCAAGGTGCTCTGGATTCAAATCTCGCTCTTCTCGTGCAGACCAGCACGGCTGCCCTCTGAACCTGTAATCCGCCCAGAGTCTCCGTGAGAAACAGCTCTCTTCATCAGATGCAAGCCGTACAGAGGGAGCTTTGACGCTCAAAAGCTCATGCCCCGAAAATCTCAGGTGCAGCTGGACTTGAATATGGCTCTTCTGGTGCAGACCAGCTCAGCTACCCTCCTGGAAGCTGATGTCATGCGTGCTCCTGTGACATGCTTGTAAAAGAAGGAGGAGAACAGACTGGATGTATACCCTGCCCTTCACTACCCAAAGGAGTCTCAGAGCAGCTTACAATCTCCTTTCCCTCCCCCTCCCCACAACAGACACCCTGGGAGGTAGGCGGGGCTGAGAGAGCTCTCTCGAGCACTGCTCTTGAGAGAACAGCTCTGAGAGAACTGTGACTGACCCATCGTCACACCAGCAGCTGCACGTGGAGGAGTGGGGAATCGAACCCGGTTAAGTGTGCAGACTCAAATCTGGGAGAACAAGAGCTGTCCTTGAAAGAGCAGTTAACGAGAGGGCTCTCTCAGCCCCGCCTACCTCACAGGGTGTCTGTTGTGGGGAGGGGGAGAGAAAGAAGATTGGAAGTTGCTCGGAGACACCTTTGGGTAGTGAAGGGCAGGGTATAAATCCAATCTCCTCCTCCTCCTCTTCTCCTTCTCCTCCCCCTCCTCCGCTCTTAACCACTATACCAAACCGGCTCTCTTGTAGCTGAAGTGGGCCCTACCTCTGGAAAGGCTGAAGTCCACAGTTCAAACTTCGTATCCCCCCCCCTCGCCCTGTTGGTTTTTTCATTCCAAAGCAAGGCCTGGTGAGGAGCAGTCCCCCAAGACCCCCATCAGTTTGTCAAGTCAACCTTTCACGGTTAATCAGAATAGCCAAGATCATAACAACATGCGGAAATGTTTGTAGGTTTAAATATTTATACACCTCTGTTCTCCCATGGTAGGGACTCAAAGTGGCCCCCAAATTAAAATGGGGTTTGGTGGAAAGGCCCTACCTCTGGAAAGGCTGAAGTCCACAGTTCAAACTTCGTATCCCCCCCAGGCCCTGTTGGGTTTTTTTATTCCAAAGCAAGGCCTGGTGGGGAGCAGTCCCCCAAGACCGCCATCAGTTTGTCAAGTCAACCCTTCACGGTTAATCCGAATAGCCAAGATCATAACAACATGTGGAAATGTTTGTAGGTTTAAATATTTCTACACCTCTGTTCTCCCATGGTAGGGACTCAAAGTGGCCCCCAAATGCCCCCAAATTAAAATGGGGTTTGGTGGAAAATGCCATCAAATCACAGCCAACTTATGATAACCCCTTCTTGGGGTTTCTTTTATTTTTAACTTAATGATCCTTTATTGATATAATATGACAACCATTTACAGTAGCCCAGACTATTAGGAAACCGCAACAGTAACAACAGTAACATAATGACAAACACACCCAAAAAGGCCAAGAGCAATAAAACCAAACAGCTTTTCAGTACATAGCTTATAACCTTCAAATGATCAGGAAGTGCCTTTTAAAGCTCACCGTGTCTTTCCATCTGTTCAAGAAAGGGGAACCAACGTTCCAAATAATCTGAATAAAGTCCGGATTCTCCGCCAAGGAAATAGCATCTCATATTTTATCCATGACCAAGTATTCCCGTCACTTATTGAACCAAAAGACGTTCAGAGGGGGTTTGCCGTTGCCTACCTCTGCGTAGCACCCTGGACTTCCTTGGAGAGCCAGTTTGGTGTCATGGTTAAGTGATCTGGGAGAACCGGGTTTGATTCCCCACTCCTCCACTTGCAGCTGCTGGATGACCTTTGGCAAGCCATAGTTCTGTCAGAGCTGTTCTCTGAAGAGCAGTCCTCGAGAGAGCTCCCTCAGCCCCACCTACCTCACAGGGTGTCTGTTGTGGGGAGGGGAAGGGAAAGGAGATTGTGAGCCACTCTGAGACTCCTTCAGGTAGTGAAGGGCGGGGTATAAATCTAGTCTCTTCTTCATTAGATGTCTTTTAATTGATTTTTACGGCTTTGTGCTGTTACCAGCCATCCTGAGCGTCCAGACGGATTGACATGTTCCCTCTAAGCTGAGTGAGTGTGAGCTAGCTCACAGTATTAGCCTCCGGCTCACACATTTTTGTCTTAGCTCAGGCAGGAGGGCTCCAGAGCAAACTAATTCATGCAGTAGCCAAATCGCTTGCTCACAACTTTAATGCCGGTAGCTCACAAGACTCCACAGCTTAGAGGGAGGATTGATTTTGAGAGATGTATGGTTCTAGCAGTTCGAAAGCAAGAAATTGCAAGTAGATAAATAGGTACCACTTAGGTGGGAAGGTAACAGCGTTCCGACCGCAACCCTAGAGTCGGACTCGACTGGCTTTCGAGCAAGGGAACCTTTACCTTTACCTCTTATGGTTTTGAAAATAAACCCACGCATCTCTCGTCTCCCCCCCCCGCCCCCCAGATTGCTGGCTGTACGTCCGCATCTACTACACAGACGTGCTGGTGAAGGAGGTCACCACCAACTCGTCAGAGGGGTGCCGGATCACCTACCGCCCGGTGCCGGCCGAAGACGAGCGCCTTTACGGCCCCAGCAGCATCGAGCAGATCCAGCTGCCCTCGCCGGAGGCGCTGGCGGGGAACGGCCGGGCGGCCAGGACAGCGGACATCGTCCAGCGGCTGCTCCCCCACTTGCACCGGGGGGTGCTCCTCTGGGTGGCCCCCGAAGGGCTCTTCTTGAAGCGCCAGTGCCAAGGCCGGGTTTACTGGAAGGGCCCGCTGGCCGCCCACGATGACCGGCCCAACAAACTGGAGAGGGAGAAAACGTATAAGTTGCTGGACACGCAGCAGTTCCTCCAACGTGAGTGCGTCAGGCTCTCTCTCTCTCTCTCTCTCTCTCTCTCTCTCTCTCCTTCCCTGGAGGCATGGCGAGGAGCAAGAAGTAGCCCGCTTTAACTGGCTTGAAGGGTGCGAGCTTGGCTGCCGTCTGGGCAGAAATCAGGGCCGGCCCCAGCTTATTTTGCACCCTAGGCGAGGATCCCTTCTGGCGTGCCCCCCCCCCATGCGCCCACCATGGCTCGGACCCGTTAATTGGGTCTGTACCCCGGACCTCCCGTTCCCCTGGCACCCATGCTCTTAACACTCACTTTTGCTTTTGTAACTTTGCCTGCTTTGCACATCTGGCTCCCACCAAGGAAGACTCTGCAAAGAAAGGCACTCGCAGTCACAAACAACCTCTGCTTCTCACTTGCCTTGACAGTTCCTTGCTGGGGTTGCCATAAGTCAGTTGCAACTTGAGTGTCCTTATGTAATAGCCCCCCTACTTAGATTCTTCTTTGATTCAGCTGAGTGACCCTTCTGTGCCCAGAGGGCTAAGTTCTTTGGTGGAATTGGTGTTTGTATCATCAGAAAGATCATAACATGTTTAAAACTCAGTAGTGTTTGCAGCTGAACCAGGACAGCAGGGTGTGTGTGTGCCAGTTTGGTGCCCCTAAGGGCCGGCGCGCTCTAGGCGAGCGCCTAGTTCGCCTAGTGAGTGAGCCGGCCCTGGCGGAAACGTTTCCGGAACGGGGGTTGGGGGCTTCCAGGTCTTATCCGGAAGGAGCTGGAGAGGGCAGGTTTCCAGCACACGCACCCCACCACAGTTCCCTCTAAGCTACGCTAGGGGGTGCTGGCGCACAACATTTCAGAGGCCCAACTCAGAGGATTTCTGCTCTGTTCACAACCAAGCTTCCATAGTAAACGATGGAGGATGGGAGCACCTCCTTCTGGGGCCCATAGATTTGGGGGCGCTGGTATGAACTTGTTGAAATTGGGGGGGGGGGGGGGGTGG